CTGAACATAGTGATCAAATAATACCTGACACTGCTGATTTAAAGAAATATACATATATCTCACTGCCAGGGTATTTATGACTCTAATAAGTTTAGTTATTTCGCCTCATGGGGAAATTCCTGCTCCTCCGAATATCAGATTTGTTTGGAGTTATGCTGTTTTTTGGGGAGGGAACAAATTATATTATTAGTTAAATGGGACTGCGCAGTATGAAAATACAATAGTGTAGTTTAAAAGTTGAACAGTGTGTAAGAAATATAATATATTTTACCAGCAATGAGAAACAGACAAACATTAAAAATTCAATGACATATCCCAAATGTTTAAATAAATATATAAGCAAGCATCACTGTTCAGCCAATTGATGCAAGGATGCTCTGTGGTTACCTTCAAGAGCACCATTCTCTCTAATACCCTGCACAAGTAATGAGTTCTGTGCATCACTTTTGCATAATCTGACCATTTTTTAGGTACTGTATATTGTGGGTACTGTCTGAAATCTGATTGCCCAGCAGGTATTATTAGACAGAATACCAAGTGGTTTCAGGTGATTTCTCAGCAACAGTCCTGGGAATAAGTGGTCTTATGGTTCCCAGAGCAACAGTCACATTTGTGTTTTTGTCATAAAAATGCGAGAGCTTTCCTTCCTATTCAATTTGGAAACGGTGCAAAGTAAGATGCACCTGTAGATGTTCAGAGAGTTGTTTTCCTGCTGCACAGGCGGTGAAACAGAAATACTGTGGAAGGAAGGATTTGGCTCTGTACCAACTTGTGTTTATTTTTGTACTGTTTTCCTATTTAAAATGTTAAAGTTTAATGAGCTGTTCTGAATTGTAATGCTTTATGATGTTTCCTGTTACCTTAGTGATGGACTACAAAACTCTTATGTTAAGAGTTTGTAAACTCTGCTATATACTTATTTAATTAGGAGCCAATGATGAAAGTTTCTAATAAAATTTCCAAAAGCACTTTCATGGCTAAGGAGCCAAGTTTCCATCAACCTGTGCTAATTGTACAGAGTGGATTAAGGGAATTCTGTCACAGCACTGTATAATGCCTGACCAGGATGGATTTAGCCAGCCAGGTCACAGTTCTGCGCTCATCCAGCTATACTGGCTTGATTCTGGTGCTACTTACCTCTTGGATAGTTTGGGCATCTCCATGCTGCTCTCTGAGCTATATTTGGAATTCTACCTTCTACTTTAAAAGCAAATGTCAAATTTCTTCATAGAAAGAAGAGCTTCAATGCTTACCTTGGTCTGTTCTCTCTACTCCCATCTCTTGTCCTCTTGAGCCTGGCCCTGCCTTCTTTGTGCTTTGTACACTAATTCTTTGTGGTCCCTCTCCTGATGGAGTTTTTGGAGACTTTAAGATAAGATTACTTTCATCAAACTTTAGCTGACTAAATAGTTAGACTTTTAATCCAAACTTGTAGACTTTACAATTTTTCTTATCCTGTGATGAAACATGTAGACTTTCAAGCTCATGAAAGTTAGATAAAAAAAAATATACATGAGGGAAGTGTCAAAACCAGGCTTAGAAAAGAGATTGTTTTCCGGTCTGTGGTGGAGGTGCTCATTGGCTTTCTAGCACACTGACAAATGTACCAAAAAGGTGAAGAAAGACTGAATTATCACCATCCTTAAAGGGACAGTTGCCCACCTTAATTTCCTTCTGTTAAGAGGGCAAAACCCATCAAAGAAAATGTGTGTAAGCATCTAGCACTGATGGGACATTTGGTTGCTTGGTTCAATGTGAACATCTATACATGAGTAATTTCTGTATGTGAATTAACATAGAGTGCTGGTACTTTCACAGAACATTTGGGAATTTTTCTTCTTGGGAAGCATATACAATATGAGAGCACCCTTGGCTGTTAATTTACGTTAAAAGACAAGTATTCACAAGCTAAGTTAGCCAGATCAGTTTCTGTGTTTGAAATTTTCTGACTCTTGGGTGCCTGATTCTGCAGCTTTGACTTCACTGTAGCCATTAAGTGTTGTAACAATAACAATAATAACAATAACAACAATAACAATAACAAATAACAATAACAATAATAATAATAATAATAATAATAATAATAATAATAATAATAATAATAATAATAATGTTGATGAACTCTGTTTTTACTTCTGCATTTATTCAAGTAATGCAAGGAATACATATGCTGGTTTTAGAGAAAGTTGCATTTCAGGATTTGAGCATTCCGACTGTGTCTCTTTAAATATTTGGATACAAATAAATGTTGAGAAAATTGTCTTTGCGAGCTTCAAACCATTCTACTCTGGCGAGCTTCAAACCAGGTCTACTCTGTTGCCTCCAGCCAGATGCTGTCTGATGTTGCCTAGACAAACCAGGGCAAACCATTATCATGGGATTAAACACTAAATACCTGCAAGGAGCATTCTCTTTATCAGATAGCGCTCTGTTAGCAGAGTTCATTCACTTTATTGCATATATAACTGTGGTGTCAAATAGACTGATTTACAACACCTGGTCTTTTACATAATCTTTGATATTTGCTGTGCTTGTAATCTGCCAAATCATTTAGCCTTCCTGATAGCAGAAATGCTGTAAAACTTAGATAAACTTGCGGAAGAAATGAACTCAAAGCTACTGCTGAAATCTAGGGCCTGCACGTTTGCTGTAAATGCACTGGCTGGTTTGGTTTCTCCCTACCTAATCTGTGATAGAATGTAGCTGCTGGAGAAATTGAAATTTTATGATAGCACTACAGTCAGAGGAGATAAGCATTTGTATACTAGACTAGATTAATCTAAAAAAAAGTTTTAGGTGTGGCTAATGAAACCAGTGTATGTGTTAACTGGCTTTCTTTGGGGTTCAAAGCATCTGTGTATATCTATATAGAGTCTAGACCAAAACTTTCTCTATGTGAAAAGTCTAATATAGCAGTGCACTAGTTCTCACTATCAGTGTGGCTTATTCCATCTTACGTTGGAGATACCTTTAAGGAGCCTCGGTTTTTAGAGGATACTTTCTGAATGCTAATACAAACAAGACCCCTCTAAAATGGTCTTGCTTGGCTACCCAAAACCCCCATGTCCTTCTGAAATTTTGGTTAGGGTAACTGTAAGGCAACACATTTGCATAGGGTTAGCCACTTACAAAGTGCAATTGAAACAAAATTAAAGAATTTTTTTTTGTTTTGTTTCGAGTCACTTGGTTTTGGCTATTAGGCATGATTTAATCAGACAGATGATAGAAAGACATAGATAAACTTAAAATGTGAAAAAGAAATTTTCAGAATGGGTGATTGGTTGAAATGCAAGCTAGTACATCAAAAGGAAAATAAAATAGTCTATAGATAGTCAAATAGAGGAGAGAGCCCTGTGAGGCAGTAATGTCAAGTCAGACTATGTTAGAAATGATGGCGACCATCAGATTGGAAGAAACAATAAAAATCAAAGGAAATGAAAGAGCTGACTTTTTCAAGCAATCATAGCATAACTCCAGTGGTTGTCTTTAACATCAGTATTAATTCCATCAATACCATAGTTAACTCCTTTGAGCTGAGGAAGTATTTCTGTGTCTCAGACATAACTATGAGTTACCTTGACATGGTCAGCTTTCTGATGATGGCTGGGACATAACACTCACTGCTGGAGCTAATGAAGGATATTTTGCATAGCATTGCTAGTTTAGGGAAGGAAGTCTTTTTACCTCATGCTGCTGCTGCATGATGCTGTTGGACAGCACAAGTGGTAGGCTGCCCCTGGGAGATACATTGGCCACTGCTAATCTTTCACATCAATAAACAGTTCTGAATATTTGTACTTAAGAATTTTTCATCCCACCTGAGTTGAGGAACATACCCCAGCTGTCTGACTTGGTTCCTTAGCCTTCCTAGGCTCCCACTGTCCTGAAAGGAAAAACACAGGCTTTTCTCAAAGCAGGAAACAGCTTGATGTGATTCCTCATGCTATGGATTAACTCTTCCTGATTACAAGAGAGGGACCCTATGGAAACAAACAAGCTATGCTGGTACCTTAGGTTGGGTGCTGTGAATAATATTCTGTGCATGTAAGTCATTGAATGGTTGAATTATTTCAGTGTTGGGAACATCAGGCAGCTTAGTGATAACAACAGGATGGAACAAAAGGGGCTTTTGGGTGAAACACTTGAGTGATATCTTTTAGACTGGAGAACAGCCTCCCTGGGGAAGCAGTGGAAATGGTATTGTTTAAGACATTTAAAAATAGACAGGAGAAAATACGTTGTAATGATCAATCCTGTGCTGGTATTTAGATCAGGTCTTGTCTTGTGTGAATATTAATAGGAAGTTTCTGTCTGAAGTTACTACCATTATTCAGTGTGCGTTGCCAGCTAACATTGGCTTGCCACCTTCCCCCACATCTGTACTCACATTTAAAGGACAGCCTGAGTAATGTTTAGCACCTTTGCCTTTTCTCTTGGTGCCCCAAGTGTTGATTTTGTATTGCCTTGCTTAGATTATATTCCTTCAGTGCTTCCACCAGACAGACTCTGTATAGTGCACAGAGATTTACAGGAAGCACGTGTAGTTTGTGGCAATAATAATAAAGTCTCCTGCTGTTTTCAGATCCCTGGGAAACTAAATCAAGTGTAGAGGTCTATTCAAAAAAGTGCAGCATGTGTATAAGTCACTTTACCATTACTTGTGTGGGTCTGCCTGTAGCTGTTCGGTGTATTTGGCTGTCAGATCTCTGAGGTCTGTCCTCAGTCTCTAGTGTGCAACTAACACATTACACACTTCAAATGGAAAAGCTGATGAAACAGCTTAAAATAACCTGAGCACCCATGCTTTGCTTGCCTCTTTTTCACTACCTCTGTGTTGGTATTCATCATAGGAACCCATACAGCAAAATCTGTTGTTCTGGTGGGGTCCGTCAGACAAATCTGGGTCTAGTCTGAATTATGGAGACAGGAAGACTGGATTCAATTCCTGCTTGATGCCATGATGCTTAATGGAGCTCTATTTTCTTGGTGTATTTCTGTAGGTATGAAGCCTGTCTTCCTGACCTGGTTGAAGTCATGAGTCTGGTATCTGCCCCGGGACACCTCTGCAGAGAATCTTATGACAGGAACAAAATGCACACGCCTTGTCGTATGAGCCACAGGCTGCCGTCTTGGTACCAGACCCCTTGCAGCTCCAGAAGCAGAGCAGATGAGCTAGAGGAGAGCCAGCTCCTGGAGGAGATTTTCTTCGTTTGATACGCCTCATTGGTCTACAGCCCTTTTGTAGAATTTTTAGGACCTTTATATTGCTGATTTGTTTGTGTTAAAGTACCATTTCTAAATTATTTGAGTGACAATGGTTTGTCTTCCTTCTTCTAAAACGTAGCTGATTAGCATCCGATTTCATTTTGGATATAGTAATCATGGTGCAGGAACGTTGTTGGGGTAGACCATTCAGCAAGCGTTAACTTTTTTTCCTAAACCTTTCATGTGCCAAGTAATCATTCTAAAGTAGAATTTTTTTGTAATCTATAATATTTTCTATTAGATTGAAGTCACAGTTTTGCCAGCCTCATACAGGAAGTATATTTCATTATCGATTTTTAGCTCTGAATCAGTTTGCAAGAACTGCCTAACATTCAAGATCCACCATGTTAAAAGTAGATTACTTTCTAATTAAACAAGTCTGTTTAAAACCTGGCATACTATAAAGGTACAAGCACTTTAGTACTTTTTTCAGTGATTTTATGTTCTACTTTTTCCTTCGACATTCTGATATTTAACATGCTGAGCTTTTATGGGGTGTATCATAAGCTCAGCTATACAGTGTCTAATAACATTAACAGATGATGTTGCAGGTTGATGTACTAGGCATCCATTTGAAAGATATTCCTCTTTAAATCAGTGCTATTTGACAGAGTTTATGTGCTGGGTAACCTAACCCTGAAATAGCAGAACACAGTCAGACATTGTAGTGGTCCAAAACCTGTTTGATGTACTTTTCAAGATGAAATATATAGTAGTAGTAGTATAAGAACAGTCTTAAGACATTTTCACTAACTTGCACTATTTTGATCCTGTATCCAGGCTCCATTGTAAATAAGACAAATCAGTAATTATTTCCACTAGCGGCTCTCAATGCACATTTCCGTGCCAACTTTAATTATTCATGCTGTATCTATTTCAGTTTATTTAAATGCACTTCCATCTACTGCATGTACTTGGTTATTTAAAGAAATGTGCCGAATTGGTAAAAATGACTGCAGATTACAGGATTAATGGTCATTTTCTCCACAATGCAGTGTTCATATTTTATTGTAACAGTAGCCACTGGCATGTGTTCCTAGAAATATGAGGCTAAAATACTCATTTTGCAGAGTAAAATTGCAGTGAGGGAAAGTTAGAATTGAGCCAGTGCAGGCAAGTTCTAGGCCATTTGCTCCCAAACACCACTTCGTGGGCCAGTACAGCTTTTCTGACAGTCTCTTCAGGCGACCCTGCTTATCTTAATGGCAGCGAGTTGCCGTGCCGATCCTTGGGGTATTGCTGCTGCCTGCCTCCCACATGCTCGCTCCTGCCCAGTGCTTGGTGCTCTGTGAGAAGCTAGCAGGGCTCAGTGGTGAGGCCCGCGGTGCATCCGTGGTGAGAGCATCAGTGCAAGGTACCTAGCATGTGCCCCTGGCAGCGCCATACCTTATAGCAGTGTAACAAAAGGAGAATAAAGGGGAAGATGAACCTCAGGTCGCTCCAAGCTGCTTCATTCAGGCCCAGTCTTAATCACAAATTATGTGATATCCTTTTTATGCATCCCAGCTGAATTTTAGAAGCTGCTTGGGGTTCAGAGGAGGGCAGCAGCATTGCTGGACCAGAAAATGACTAGTGTGGAAAGGCCCTGCCTGGTCTGTACTACTGTCAGTGAATTATTATAGTTCTTTTAAATACGTCTATCTGCTGTTGAATGTCCCTCGTGTTCTACTCCCTGAGCCTATGAAGGCACAGGTTTCTGCTTAAAGCCCCAAAGATGTATTCAGTGCCCTAACCCGAGTCTAGCAGGTGGAGAAATAGGTTTTCTTATTCTACTGGCTGAGTAGACTGCTTCTTTAAGAGAGCAGGGAAAGAGAGGGTAAAGAAGAGAAAAATGTACAAGGAGCATCAAGAAAACTGTGGAAAACCATGAAGAAATGACCACCACATAGATGTTAGGGTTTTGGGTTGTTTTATGGTGATTCAGTTTTGTTGGGTTTTTTTTTGTTAAGGTTTGGCATTTATAAAGAAACAGTTCTCTGGTTTCAATCCAATCTCTTCTCTTTTCCAGTTGAAACTTTAATTGCCTTTTCTAATAAGTGCTAACTGACCTTTTGAAACAGCAAAAAATACATGTATATCTCTTGAAAGGTGCCTTTGTGTACCCAATAGAGAGCACTGCGCAGGAGCATTCTGTTCTTTGTTACTTTGTGGGTGCCAGTATTTCACTGCTTTGGGATTCCTTGTGATCCATTTTGTCCATTAATAATTCTAATTCTGAGGGTGACTTTTGACCTGAATCTATATTTTGTTAGTATCTCTTTTTAAAAGGACATTGTCAGGGTTGTGGGCCCTACACTCAAGGTGTTGTCCATCAGTCAGATCTACATGGGAGGCATACCTTTATGAAGCAAAGATTTCAAGAATTAAGATGGTTGAAATGTCTGACAGGTGAAGACCTGCATAGTTTAACTGTGTGTGAGATGTGGACAAAACAAAAGCTATTAATTTGGTAGACTGTGAAAAATCATTTTTTATAATGTTGGCTCTTGCTCTAGTTATCAGCAGTACATTAGGAATAGTGTTTAGCAGTCAGTACAAGCAAAGATATTTTGCCATGAGGCACTACAAAGTTGAAGTTATTAAAACATTTATAGCCTTAGAAAAAGAAATCAATGATTGTCAAATAGGAAAGGACAAAATCAGTAGTTGGGACTGGGAGGGGAATTGTTTTCCATCTCCTAAAACAGTAGAGGAAATGCAAAAATTAAACTAGCAAAAGCAATCACTTGACAGTGTCCTTTTAAGTTTAAGCTCGTATATGAAGAAGCTGCTGCTGGGGTAATAGTCCAGCCATATATTGATTGTCCAGAGTGTCCCCAGTTAACATGATTCGGCTACACATCAGGCTGTGTTTTACATGAGGCACTGTGGAGTAATAAGACTTCTGCTAGGACTCCCAGCTATGCCTTCACTTTGTGTTCTTCCTGAGTGGCTCGCACACACACACACTTGCCAAATGTTTGTGTAGTCTTTGCTTTTGTGCAACCTTGCACACCGTGGGCGTGCAGCAATCACACACACCCTTTCTGCTTCTAGCCTCTCCAGTCTTGCTGTTGAATCACATCTTGAGCATATATTTATATATGTATGTGAGGTCTTAATCTAATAAATTGTCTGGGTGTTTCATTTATTCTTCCAGACTTTTATTTGACTTATCTTCTGGTTTGTTTGGTCCAGCTCAAATGTCAGTTCTGCAACTGACAATATGTTCCACTTTCCACGTCATCATGTGATGTATACTGTGAATCTCCCATTTGCTAAGATAGTTGAGGAACTTGTTTTAAGCGTTCTTTTCCTTCCCAGGACATGGGTTTTTGTGTGAGAAACAGCAAGACCTCTTTAGGAGCATGAAGTGGGGCAGAGGTCTCAGAATACAAAAGAGGAGAGAAGGGGAGAGCCAGCACTATGCTTTGGGTCAAAAAGGTAGAATGAAAGAGCAAGGAAGAAAGGATGGAGGTAAAGGCAAAAAAACCCAAGGATGCGAGTCAGGGAACTGTACCAAAGGATGACAGAAAGCATAGGTTGAGTGGAGCTGAGCCAGATGGTAGAGACAAGTTGTTGAAATATAGTAAGTTGATGAAGGAGAATTTTGTGTTTATGTCCTGGAGTGATAAATGTCTTCAAGCAAGCACCAGTTTCTGTGAAAGGCTTATGACTCCCCACTCCTTTTTCAGATCATTTTCCTGCACTTGGGGAGCTACTGTCCAAAGGATACCTGGCAAATGAAGGAAAGAAGGAAATGACCTAACTTGAGCTGTTCCCCCTTAGAGTAGCCAGACAGGGAGACCAGAGCACAAGGAGGGTAGTAGGGTGAAAGCCAGGTATAACACAGGCATGGACTGAATTTAATTGCTAGCAAAGGATGTTGTTGTGGACTCAGATGACAGAAGAATGTAAGACTGCATATAGCAAGAATTGGAATAAGGGAGAAAGAAGCAAAACAAAAGCTGCAGTGATCCAATGAGCTGCGAAAGTTTGGTGTTAAGGAAGGAGAGGAAAGGGCTTAGCTCTGCTTGAGAAAGACTGAGCATGAGATGTCTGAAAGATATCCCTTGAAAGCGCACATGAGCCCGGGGTTAAACTCTAAAACTTGCAACAGAAATTTTCTGAAATATGACCCCCAGGCAGTGTTTGAATTTGTACCATCTGAGAGGGAGAGAACACAGTCTGGTTAGTTAGAAACCTATTTTTCACTGTTACTAAATTTATGAAATTGTGTGCTAATTAGTGTATGATTTATAAATTTACATAACTGCATGCTACACAAGACAACACAGAATGTTGAATGAGATGATTTAAACTGGCAGAAGCAGAGAAGTCTGCTCTGACTGGGTGGCTTTCCTCTGGAAAATCCCTCTCCTAATCCAATGCTGCTCCCTGCATCCCTTGATGGCTTATCTACTCACAGTGATAATAAACATTTTAGAATATTGTGGCTCCTTGTAGCTGTGAGAGAACAGGCTACCTTGAGCATCTTTGGAATGATTATATAGCAGAGCTTTCCCTGTGATCCTTGAGGAAGGTGTTTGAAAGCAGAAATCAGCTAAAAAGGAGCAAGAAACCTAAGTTGGTCTGGTCAGTGTTGGTGCTTGATGACTCCCACAGCTGTTCACAAGGGACACTACTGCATCCCAGCTGCAGCAAGAGGATGCAGGTGTGGGGGAACTGGATTTATAATCCCCAGCTCTGGGATAGCCACTTTGCCTTCCTCCACAGCACACTTTGGGTTCTGCTGGTGCAGTGTGTTTACTACCACATCTCAGAGGGGCTGTGACTTTATATTAGTGCCCACAGCAGAAGGTGCTGGACATATCCACCAGCAATTTGTGAACAGTAAGCTGTAAGAGCAGAAGCATATCAGCTAGTCACTGTCACCCAGCAGAAGCTAAAGCTCTCAGACTTCATATATTTTGAGGCTTGAAGGGGTCATTTCGGGCATTGGGGAACTAAACTGGAGAAACTCAGATGTCACTGACAGGTGACATACATGAGGTGAGAGATCCCCAAACGGTCCCAGCAGACAATCCAATCCACAAGCTGCAGAGAGAGCCATAAATTCCTAGTTTCCTTAATTCAGGAGTCATTCTAAGAATGTGAAAAAAAAACACTTTATTTGCTCATAGCATTCAAAAAACAGTCTTAGAATGTAAGTTCATTCTTTCTGGTCTCCTGTCTGCAGACAGGAGGAAAGTGAAAAATTGGAAAAAGTTATCTTTCCTGGTTGTTTACTGGCAACGATCTTAAAACCTTAAAGTGTGAATTTGATTAAAGCCATTGTCCAAACACAAAGTGTTGAGTGTCATCAACGTCAAGGAGAATGTGGAAAGTCCTCTCTCTGCTAGATCTGGTAAGAAAGGAAAGAACAAGATGAATTCACAGACACAAAATCTGGTTCTTATGATAGAGCTGACTGCAAGGAAGTTGCATTGAAATTTTAAAAGCACCTTACCAAAAATCTTCCAGTGTTTAATTATCCTTGCTGCTATGACACTGCCTTATTTTGAGGTTGAGTTTGTCTAACTTTGATTTCCAGCTATCAGACTTAGTTGTGCCTTTGGAAGCAGGACTGCAAAGTTGCCCTCTTGTCAGACAGTAAGTACCCCAAACACAGTGATAAACTCCTGGTTCAGCCTTCTCTTTGATGGGATGGGGTTCTTTACACCTTGTGTCCTAGTGTCTGTCTTCCAGACTCAGGATGATTTGAGGGGGCCTGTTTCTGAATTTTCTCCAGCATTTATGCATCTTGAAGGGTTTACACCAGAGAATAATGTACAATTCCAGAGGCTGTTGCTGGGAATGCTGACAGTGTGGCATCGTTCTGCACAGTATTTCCCTCCCCAACTTTCAGGAGCCTTGTTGGAGGTGTTGGGCTGGGTACCTGGTCTCGTTGCATTTTAGATCGTGGCTATATTTCTTGGAAACAGAAAGTATGTGAGTGAAACCAGGAGACCCTGCCAAATTCAGAAAAATTTAGGAAAGGAAGGAATAATGTGAAGTAGAAATACCAAACAAAAAAAAAAAAAAAAAAAAAAGATTGTGGGATTCAGTTTGGGACGGAGCATGAACCTGGGGGTGCAGCATGTGTGAACTCAGCCATCTTGAAAACAATCTGAAAGACACATGCTTGATGGGCTGGGAGAGACCCAGACAGCAGAAACCCTCAGAAGGGGAAGAGTGAGCAAAGCATGAGGTGATGATATCTGATAGCAACAAAAACAGACGAGAAGACTTTTGAGCTGCAGGTGAGAAGGCGATGACATCTCCAAATTGCAGAGGAAATGGCTCCTTGTCAGTGGGTCTGGTGCCCCTCTATCTGCACTAGTGCCTTCAGCACAGGGATCTCATTACCAGAGAGTTTACTGGCAGGTTGGAGGGATTTCAGTGAGGAGTAATAAAAATGATCAGGGACTCCTAGAATTGACATAATGAGGAAACAAGATGAGAAGAGTCAGATATTTATAGCTTGGGTGAGAGAGACAATTAAAAGGTGGGGTGGAAGATGGACTGGGTGACCTGAAAGCCTTGTCTGTTTCTAATAACTTCTCGTCATCTGCCGTACAGAGGACTTGAATTTTCCAAGGCTGTCAATCTGACTCTTAACAGCCTTAACTTCCCATGTTGAAAAGCTCAGGTGGGTGTACTCTGGCTGTATTGACACTGTCAGAATGTCACTGGTGCTGTACTTTGTTTAAAAAAATAGTCATCAGCCGTGTTGTGAAAAAAAATTGACACACTGACAGTAAAGGGGAAAAAAAATTAGACCTTCATAAAATAAAAAGCCATTGAAGACCTTGCTGAGATCAGGGGCTGATTGGGAAGGGCTCCCAGATTGTTCAACTGGTGATGCCGAGCCCCTCTTTCTGCCAGCACGGGGGTCTGTCAGGTGGGAAGGCCCATGCAGAGGGAGCAAGTGTGAATCTTTGCAAGGTGGGTGCTGGTGTCACCCAGCTGTGCACGCAGCTGCACAAAACCACTGCTTCCCAGTGTGCACTGATGTGCACAGGCTGTTCTCAAGAGCTGCTGAGCTCCACAGACAGTTCTCGGGGCACGCTTTGTGCCAGCCAAAACCTTGCAGGTCGGACTGATGGCTACGGCCACCCGTGGGAATTCACTTCCCTTCCTCCTGCCCTTACGCAGTGGGATCCAGGCCTGGGAGACAGGCGAGCTCTCCCTTTGACACGGGCCAGCTAGCTGCCTCACCAGTGAGGATTCCTGCACCTGGGTGTGGGTGGGTGTTCGTGCATAGTTTTTTCATGCTTGTAGTTGCCCGATAGTTTTGCACAAACCCACTAAATATGTGTTTTTTGCACATATCCTATGGAACACGAGCAGCCATTGCATTCTTTTTTTCCTGAGTTGGAGACCCCTGAGAAGAGGGAAGGTGACCCATCTGAATAATTACACAGCAGCCTTAAGGTGAGGGTTATTTAAAACCTTGACTGAGACCATGGCCATCTCGCATGCTCCCCAGCCCTGCAGGGGAGAGAGCCTTGGGTTTGCTCTGGACTTGAGAGACCACAGCAGAGTTGGAGGCAGCCAAACTAGAGACATCTCGGTTCCTGGGCTGGCAGTCAAATTAAAACACTGCTACTGAAAGCAACAGGGCCGTGCATGTTAGAGGCACTTCAGGGAAATATCAGAGCGGCCTTTGTTGGGTCTGATGGTGGAGTAGCCACTCTGTTTTAATGATACCTGTGTGCAAAGGCCACAGCTGCTTTCATCCATTTCACATTAGTCTGACTTTCATAGAACAGACATAGCCTAAGGTAGTGGAAGGGAGAGAAAGGTGTCCAAAAAAAATAGCCATCCATTTTTCACTACTTTTTCCACCCTTCTGAGCTGTGATACCAGGTGCTGGCTGAACAACAGTAATCTTATCCAGCATACTGTTGATTTAAGCCTCTTGGTTTTATATAACTTTGGAAATGGTAAACTATATTAATTTGCTGTGTTTTCAAGGCAAAGTTATTTATTGAGAGACATTTTTAACTCAAGTGCCAGAAGCCTTAAATCATTATAATAAATTCATGCTATTCAGGGTTTCTTACATTGTAATAAATTTGTTTTAAACATGAATGAGGAGATCCATGATTTCTTTAATATACTGTTATGTATTTCCTTTCAAA